GTGGCCTGCACAAATCTAAAACTTTTTTTTATACTAAGTTAATCACTCTTCTAACTTAAGAGACTTTTGTAAAGCTTATCAAAACGCATTTAATGGTAGTTAGAACGTCAAAATTGGCCTGGTGAGTGCTGAGATATCTTTAAAAAACCTTTCTTTTACTATGTAAATTTCTTTGCAAAAGAGAGCATTTTCGTAAAGAAATTTACATAGTAAAAAAAGGTTTTTTAAAGATATCTCAGCACCCACCAGGCTGATTTTGATGTTCTAACTACTATTAGATGCATTTTGACAAGCTTTACAAAAGTCTCTTAAGTTAAAAGGGTGATTAACTTAGTATAAAAAAAGTTTTAGATTCATGCAGACCACATTCACACTATAGTAAATTTATATAGTAATCTGAGTCATATCACTCTCTGGCTTACTCGTGGACTCCCAATTAATAGAAATATTTTAGGTTTCTAAATTTGGTAGGATAACTAGTTTCACTGTAATTTCCAAATATGTATAGATTCCATAATCTAATATACACATTATATCAATAAAATCTAGTTATTAAAAAGACTTAATAAAAAAAAATTACAAAAATATAATTACCCTTATATTGAATAATATTTACTTATTTTGTACTATTTAATAAAATTTCAATATTGATTTGCTCTAATATTATAAACAGTATTAAAGATCTAAAAAAAATTTTTTGTACTTTGAGAATATAAATTTATAATTTTATGTTTTCATAAATTTTTTAGTATTTTTAATAGTAAAAATTTTCAAATAATAACTATATAAAAATTTATTTAATATTTACTAGTGGTAAAATTTATCATCTTAAGAGTTTTAAAGTTAGAATACAAATTTAGAATAAAAAAGAAGTTATATAACATAATGTAGATTAGTTATAAGATTCTGTTTCAGTTTTTATAAATTTTTTAAAAGTTTTTAATATTTTTACTTAAACTTTCTAATTTTTTTTTTTTTTTTTTTTTTAATTCTTTGACAGCCTTGTTGGTGCTCAAATACAAATTATATTACTATTAGACTAAAAACAAAGTTTAAAAATTCTAATAATATCTAATTAAAATTTGCAAGCTTAGTATTACCTGGCTACGTCATGTACACCCAGATGTGACTTGTTATACCAACTTACATGTAGGTTGGAAGACCTTGTCAGCTCTATCAAGAACTAAACCAAAATGGGGTTGATTCATTCTTAAACTATTCAACAACATCTTTCTCAAATAACCACATAACTTCTGCCTCCTTCTTATTACTTATTAATTTAACTACACCATTTATCTCACCTTTATACTTGTTTTCTTCTACTCTTAATATTAAGGTCTTAATGGTAACAGCACCCTCGTCAACAGGACTTTTCTGATTACTTCTCTTCATTGCTATATCTATACTAATTTTCTTTTTCCACTTAGCAACTGTATTATATCTAATTTGCCAAATTTCATTAAGAAAGCTGCTTTCTACAATTGCTATATAACTACCAAGTGCCAGGTTTACAATCTTCTTAAATAGCTCTAAGTCTAACAACTCTGCCACTACATAAACTTTCTAATTTTATATACTTAAATATTTTTAAGATACAGTATCTTCAGTAAATTTTACCTCTGGTAAATATTAAAATCATTTACTATATATTTTTATATAAAACTAAAAATATAATATAATATATATATTGCACAAATATCAAACTACTATAATATTTATATAAATAAATAAAATAAAATTTATTATATTTAAAATAATAATAGAATAAATAATAATAATAAGCTTAGTGTAGTAGTAGTCTAGTCATCACTTTTTCCAAATAGTAAGTCTAGAGTTTAAATTCTATAGACAACAATTTTGAAAAATAAATCTGTAATATAGTAGATAGCTATTGATTATTAGTTAGATTTAGAAATCTATAATCTTGATAACATTATTTAGAATAGAAGCTTTGGTGTACAAATAAATTTAGAAGACCAAAATAATTAAAACCTTATTTGGAAAGTCTTAAATTGGGAGTAGCAGTAATCTTTGATAGTACTACAGAAAGGCTAAATTCAAACTAAAAACTGAGATTAAAAAAAACTAAATAACCAAGTTCTTAAATAAAGAAACATATTAGCTAAACTGCTAGGTGATGCATTGAAAAAAAAAACATATATTCTAAAGTATGTATTAAGAAGAGAAAAACTATAAAGTATCTAAAGCCTAAGCAGATCAAATTTTTCAAGTTGCTTGCTAGAAGTAAAAAAAATGATCAATAAAAAATCCGAGTAAAAAGATAGTCTAAATGTACATACTGAGGTTGTTGTGAATTTTACAAGAGCAAGAAGTAAGTAATAGGTAACTAATTAGAAAGGTTGTAGCTTGAAATACAAATCAGATTATAATAGTATTTTAAAAGGTAACTTGAAATATAAACTCAATGATAGCAGCACAACAGGTACTAGTTAGGAAAAAGTTATTAAACATGCAAGTAAATACATATATAAAATATAGATTACTTTGTTAGATTTATCTTAAGAATAGTAAAGTGTTCTAAGAAAAAAAGCTAAATCTAAAGATATTACAAAAGCTATTACTAAATAGTGAGTTACTATACACAAATCTTAAGTTTATTTAGTGCTTATAATATAATTAGGCAATTTTACTATATTTATTTGATTTGAAATCTAATAGCAGCAATCTGCAATTTCCAGGCTGAATGGTATATATGGCATGATCGATATATAACACAATTTACAATTTCTAGCTCGAAATATTGTATAATATTTAGCATTAGTTAAACTTAATATTAGTTATTATAATAATTGATATAATAAACTTGAATTTTGGTATAATAAACTTGAATTTTAATATAATAAATTTGAATTTTAATATAATAAATTTGAATATGCAGTCTATATCCATCTTAGGTAAGATGGAAAGTTTGGGCTAAAAATTTACTAATAATAGATAAAGTAGATAGCAGTACTAGATATAAAGGTACTAGAGTTACATAATATGTCAGGTATAGACCAGTTAGATTAAATTCATTGCTGTAAATACAATTTGTATCAGATCAATTGATCTAAACATCTAAAATATCAATAAACTCTAGTCTCCAGACATTTAACAAAAAAAAAAAAAAAAAAACTTGAATATTTAAAACTAGTTTTAACCTCTAAACATGGGTTATAATAGCATATCATTTTTTTTTTTATCAATCTTCAAGTTGATTCCTATTTCTTGATAGAAGTAAATTTTATTTTTGTTAGCTCTTGGGCTTTTCTTTTTGTTTTTCTTTTTTTATATTTTCTTGTTTCTTTTTTTTTTTTTTTGAACTTCTTTTTTTGGTTTATTTTGTTTTTTTTAGATATAATTCTTTTTGTTTATTAATAGATAGTTTTGTATTGTAGATATAAAATTATTACTTTCTTTTGTTTTAGTAAAAAAAGTAAAAAAAAATTGAAGAAATTAGCTTTAGATAGGCTAATAAAATCTTTTAACTTATATATAAATTAATGCAAAAGGTCACTTCTAAACATAGCCAGAAGATATTGGGCTTGCAATTTCAATAAGATCAGTTAGATTCTTTATTTGTATTTTATATATATTCAATAAAATTATTTGTATTTAAGCTCTGACAAGACTATCAGCTAAAAAAAAAAAAATTACTATTTTGTAATTCTTATTTTCAAATATTATTTATTTAATAATAAAATTAAACTGTTTTAAATTTTAGCAGCCAAATTTGGCTGCTAAACTCGATGGTTTAAATGATATATATAGTATTATATACAGGTTAGGGTCAGGGTTTTTAGAGCGTAGAACATTTTTATTTAGAATATCTCACACCGACTAATTAGTTAGTTTTTGTAATAATGTATAAATAGGTGTAAAATACCATAGGTGCGTTTTAGTAAAGGTCAAAATTTTTAACTTTAGTATATAGCTAACCTATTTTTTACTAAGATAACCTACTTTTGTATTATAAGTAAACTTTAGCGTAGAATTTTACATATAATTACACTCTAAATTAATTTTTCTATGTGACATATTCCCTGACTGGTATACATTTTAACGACCCCACTAGCTAAATCCCAAACGTACGTACATACGTACGCACGCACGCACGTACCCAAAATTGAACCACATACAGGATGTTACAATGATTTGTTTAAATAGCAATTCTAATACTTAAAAACGTACGTACGTACATACGTACCAGTACGTACAATTATATACGTAGTAAAAAAAAAATTCGGGAATTTACTTAAAAAGTTAGAGCTAAGAAAGTTAGTATAAAATTCTGTTTCAAAACGGTAGTAAATTTCGAAGTTTCTATTCCATATAAAATTTAGAAAACTGATATTCTTTGTGTTAAAAATAAATTTAAAGGCCGCAGATAGTTAAAGTCTTCTATATACTTTCCATATCGATACCCTGTATGTGAATGTCAGATGACAGCGTTGTATTAACTATTATTCCAAACACGTAGGGTACACAATGACGCATGCTTTTTTGCTGAGACGATACCAAAATATTTTTTAATTGACAAGCTTTTTTTACGCGAAAAACAGAATATTTTAGTCATTAAAAAAATCATTAGCTATAATGCATAAAGTTAGAAGAAGACGTGTAGTCCCTGTTGATGTTCATAGCGAAGACGAGGACGAATTCGATGTTACCAGAGAGGAACTCGAGCTCAGTGATCTATCTGGTTCGGAGGCAAGTTGTGAAGATTCGGACATTGAAAGTGAAAATTCACACAGTGACGGCGAGGAAGAAATTAATAAAGAGACCACGAGCTCGATCACGGAGGAACAAAATTCTATTAGAGAAGAGGAAAGCTCGATTACGGAAGAGCAGAGCTCTATTAAAGAAGAGGAAACTTCTTCTGTAATAGAAGAGATTAGCAGCTTAGTTGAAAAAACAACTTTAACCTCGAATGAGGAAAATGCAACAAGTCAGATCAAGTCAGATATTTTAAATTCTTCTTCCGAGATAAAAAGGACAGCGCACCTGGAAGACAAGCAAAAAGCTGAAAACGATTCAACGGCTAAAGAAATTAGTCATGAGAGTAGTTCACCTGAAGAATTAGCTGAAAGCCTAACCGACGAAGAAAGTGATAGACCGGATGATCAAGATTTATTGGATGATAATAATAAACCAAAGGTATTGACAGGCTGGCAAAAGAAATTGCTAGCAAGGCAAGAATATCGTAAGAAGCTTGCAGAAGATCCAGCATTCGTACCTCATCTTGGAGAATTTTGGGGACATGATGATCGGTTCATAAGAGACGAATTAAAAAATGATTTTGAACACCGTCCGAGAAATTTACCTTTTGCACCCAAGTAATTGCTAATATAATATTTATATTTTGTTAGTAAGTAAACATCATTTATATAGCTTAATTTTATATTAAATTACAGAGGTAGAGTAGTTTGGGGAGTTAATGAGCCCAGAGGTCGATGGGATCATGATGGTTTTGAAGAGTTAATGAAGATGGAAGAAGAAGAACGGCATAGGAAAGAGTTTCAACGCAGATTTCAACAACGTCGTGGTTTTAGACCCCGGGTATGTTTTTTTTTTTTTCAAGTAAATCTTAACAACCTGAAACCTGAAATAATAAAAATTTTAAAATTCATACTTAGCCAAAGATATATCGCCATCGACCGGTTATACGTAACAATATCCTATCATTTAAAATTAATCAAAATCGGATGTCAAATTTATCTTCTGGAAGAAGGCCTTTGCCGTCGAGAGTCGCGACAACCAGTAATAAAGTAAAACCCCTGAATAATATTAGTACCCCAACTCAGAAACCTTTTGTCAAGGAGGACCGATCGGACTTTAAACAGAAAGGAGTAGAAACTACAGTAGAATCAACATCACAATATAACAATCAAAAGAATACGTATCATTCACGTGATACAAATAGCTTTCGAGGTGGTCGAGGATATAGTAAAGCACCTTTGCGAACACGTTCAAGCCGAGTTCATCCTGTATACCATAAACAAAATGTGGGTGTTAATGGAAAAAATACAAGTGTTAACAAAAAAAATGCGAATGTTAACGAACCAGGACAGATAAAACAGCAAAAAGAGAGTAACGAAGATAATATTGACAAAGATCATAAATTAACTAATGAAGAACCAGGTCTAGAAGCTGTAGCAGGTGAGACAAATGTAAAAGGTGTCACATGGCATCAATCTTCAGAGAACAAAGAGCTTGAAATAAAATATCAAGCTAAAGTTTCTGAAGATCTCGAAAAAGAAGAATCTGAAGTCGAGATAATTTTAGATCCTCCAAGTAGAAAGACGAGCGGGATGCAAGAAAGCGATGGGCATGTTAATTCTCAGATGAACAATAGTACAGAATCCAACGGTACAACAGTGAAATCTGAAGGTCGGTCTGAGAATGGACAATCGCCTTCAAGTAAAGAATCTCCGACATCACCATTAACAGAGGATCAAGAAAAGGAACGCTCACAACCTACTCAATCATCTAAACGATACTCGACAAGAAGAGTTGCTACTACACCGACTACACAGACAACTGAACAAGAGGTAGTAGGAAGCGGAGTTGGACCTTCTCGAGCCAGTAGTGAAATTCCGGCATCAGGTTTGTGCTAAATGAAATTAATATCTTTTTTTGGTCGACAAGTCGAAATTCAAACTATAATTGTGTCAATAACTATTGTAACAAAATTATATTTGATTAATGTCGGTACATATTATAATTTGAAATGATTATTAATGGTAAATGTGTTGTGCATATGTTGTATGTGTATAAATGTCAATATATTAGCGATCTATGCAGCTCCATTCAAACCCAGATCGATGACTCTTTCGGACGATAAAGACGTTAGGACCGAGGAAGATAATCTTCCACCTCAACAACCAATGGATACACCAGTTAGATATTATACTCCAAATAGGGTTCCAGTGATGCCACCAAGAAATAATAATTTAATGGAAAATAATTCTGGAATAGCTGTGGCCCCACCAGCAACACAATTTGAGAGTAATGGAATGGTTTATTATTATGATCCAAATATGTACCATCAACCCCATCAACCCCATCAACCTTATTATTATTATCCACCGGTTGAAACCAAGGATGGTAACGATAAAACATCATATATACCACAGCCGCCACCACCAGGAAATGCGGTACTAGATAATGGCGTTTATTACTATTATCCTGTTTATTATCAGTAACAGGCTAAGAAAATATCGCCCGAGTCATATGGCTGGGCACAAGTTGCCCGTCCATGAAAACTGTTTTCCGTCTTCGGCCTTGCGTGACCCAATTTTGCTTTTTAAGTAATATATACTATTGTAAAAAAAATGTTGATTATTCTAAACGCCGAGATTTTAGTAACGTAGTAAACATGATAAACACGATGATCGGATCAACTCGATAGGAACTTTTTTATATATTATTATTATTATTGTGCAGCAAATTTAAAAAAATTTTTTCATGTATTCGTAGATATATATTGTATAGTAAAAGCTTTTTAGCATAAATTTTTATTCATCATTCCTTAATTAGCTTGAAGCTATTTACTAAAATTTTTGAGAATGAAAATGAAGTATATAACTATGATGTCAAAGCTGTAGGAAATTAAAGAATTAAAGTTATTAAAATCAAATTTTGAGAAACGAAAATGTTCAAAAATATATGAAATATTATCGTTATATAAGACGCACCTAATCTTCAAATTTTATTGAATGTGATTGGAAGTCAATTTTACCACCACGGTATGAACCACGTTTCTTTTTCGTTTTCTGAGCACGGAAATCTTTACCTCTAGTGGCTGCAAAATCGTTATATGCTTTATGACCATATGATCCAGCAGCTCCACCCTAAAATTAATTGGAAATCGATAAATCAATAAATGAGCTAAATGAATTAAAACAAATAATATAAATATTTACTTAAATATAAATCATCATTACCTTTGCTAAAAAGCTATTGTCTTTCAACTTTTCATTATGAAATTTAACTTCATTTACATTTATACGAGGTTGATAAAACCCATTCTGAGCTTTCCCTGGCTATTCAATGCGGTTATGAATGAGTTGGATAAATGAGTTAGATATTAGATCATTATAATATTAAATCAAATAATAGAAAAAAAGAATAGATTATTAACATTCATGGTAGTCTTTACTTTATTCATTTGATTTTTCTGGACAGAAGGTGGGACAAAGAATTTACTAGTTTGTTTTATAGAAGCAGGACTAATAAACAAATAATTATATTAATTATCAACACAGAAATTTAATTGAAACAAAATATAATATGAAATACCTTGAAATTGAATTTATCTTTTTCGTAGGTGATTGATTATTACTATCAGAAGAGTCATCTAAACTACTTTTCCTTTTTTTGCTCGTTTGTATACTATTCGAAGAATTAAGTACATCTTTCTTATTAATATTTTTTTTGAATTTAGATGATTCGGTATCACTCGGGTCATCTAAATTTTTTTTTTCAGTTTCTTTTAAAGTAGATGATTGTGCAACGCTCTGGCCATTTAGGCTCGATATTTTTTTATCTTTGCCATTTTCTTCCTCTGACGAGGATGATTCAGATTCACTCTGATCATTCAAGCTCGTTATTTTTTTATCTTTGACAATTTCTTCTTCCTCTGACGAAGATGATTCAGATTCAGAATCACTCTGATCATTCAAGCTCGTTATTTTTTTCGTTATTTTTTTATCTTTGCCATCTTCTTCCTCTGACGATGATTCAGATTCAGAATCACTCTGATCATTCAAGTTCGTTATTTTTTTTGTTATTTTTTTATCTTTGCCATCTTCTTCTTCCTCTGACGAAGATGATTCAGATTCAGAATCACTCTGATCATTCAAGCTCGCTATTTTTTTCGTTATTTTTTTATCTTTGCCATTTTCTTCTTCCTCTGACGAAGATGATTCAGATTCAGAATCACTCTGACCATTTAAGCTCGTTATTTTTTTCGTTATTTTTTTATCTTTGCCATTTTCTTCTTCTTCTGACGAAGATGATTCAGATTCAGAATCACTCTGACCATTTAAGCTCGTTATTTTTTTATCTTTAACAATTTCTTCTTCCTCTGACGAAGATGATTCAGACTCAGAATCACTCTGATCATTTAAACTCGTTAATTTTTTGCCATTTTCTTCTTCCTCTGACGAAGATGATTCAGATTCAGAATCACTCTGACCATTTAAGCTTGTTATTTTTTTATCTTTGACAATTTCTTCCTCTGACGAAGATGATTCAGACTCAGAATCACTCTGATCATTTAAACTCGTTAATTTTTTGCCATTTTCTT